AGTGTTCTTGGTGTGAAAGCAAATGCATGATTTAAGAAAAAAATTGTTTTTACTAGCTGCAGTGCCTATGTGAGAAGCTTATGCAAAGGAGTTCTTTTTTTCTCTCGAACACTGCTTATGAAAGGAGTTGAACCATAATTTTTTTATTATGTCTTGGATATCTGGATGGATTTGATCAGTGATTTGGTGACAAATGGATTAGTTAGGTTAAATTTGCCACTTGAATTAAGCTTTCTATGTATTGGACTATGTCAAATAATTTTGGTCTTGTGATTTTTCATGCATTATGTTCATGAAAATATTGTGGTTGACATTGATTTGTGGTGATTTCCTCATGTTATTCAAAAATTCTATTTTTTCTTGATTTTATAAGACATTGTTTTCAATTTTCTAAGACGTACCAAGGTTCTGCATACCAAGCTGTGGCTTGCAACTGCAGTAGACCTTCTATAGTATCATGTAGTTCAGTGCGGTTCAGAAGTAGCAGCTGCATGCTGCAGCGAACGGGCTAATCTCTGGACAACCTGTTGCCAAACGACAACAGGGAAAACCCCCACGACGTGGAAATCCCCTGGGTAGAGGCGGGAATCAAATTTCGAAAAATTTCCCCCGTCGGGGGTTCCTGTCCCTAGGCTTATAGGCACCTGTTGCCAAAGTAGGCCTAATAGTGAGCGTGGAGGACTGACAATTGAAACAAGATATTACAATGGCCCATCGACCTTTCCTCCCATGCTGTTAGGCTATCTCCAACGAGCCGACCCAAATTTTAGCGTTTGGGTCATGTACAGGAAACAAAGGGTTCTACCCAGATTGTTCCGTCTCCAACAATAGCGAAGGCAAATCCTCTCTTCCTCTCTCTCCCACGTGGCTGCAGGGCATGGCGATGGCGACGACGACGATGCACGGCGCTGGCATTGGCGTTGGCGCGGCGCTTCGAACAGCGCGGCGCCGCCGCAGACGACGCGCCCGCCTTCTTCCCTCCTCCCGGCCGGATCCGACCCCCTCCCCCTTCTTCCCTTCTTCTTCCCCTCCCCTCCCGGATCCGGATCCGGCCGCCATGCGCCGCGCGGAGCGCCCCCAGCTGAGCTCAGCTTCGTGCCAGCGCCAGCCCGCCGAAGCTCACGCCAGCGCCGGCGGAGCTTCGCGCCAGCGCTTGGCGGAGCTTCGTGCCCGCGTCTGCCGAGCTTCGCGCATGCCTCGGCCGAGCTTCGCCCGGTGGCTCGGCGAGCGAGCTGTGGTTGCGCCGGCGGAGCTCGCGCCCGAGCTCTTGCGTCGTCTTGCGGCAGAGATTTGCGTCGTCCGGCTGCCGAAGACGCTTATTTGCCTTTCCCTTTGCGTGGTACGCAAAATCGGTCGGCTGTTTGGGTCTTCCGTTGGACTACGTTTTTTACGACGCAAACCACTGTTCACTACGCATTTTACGTTTGCGTTTCGTCATTGGAGACAGTCTTACTCCCCTCCACAGCCAATATTTGTACTGGTTTTCACAGCAAACTATTCTGGAGCAAATCAACATGGCTCAGTTAGGTTGGGGGCAAAGATCCAATTGGCTTCATTTGCCACAGTCACCAACGGTCTTCCATCTACCATGAAATGCGACAGTTTACCGCAGTACATTTCTGGCCTCGAGTTGGTGACGGACTCGATAAGCCCGGCATCCATCCATCGGTCAAGCATTCATGTATATAAGACTGCCTCCAACCGCGTAGACATAAATAGGAGACCCATTGGATGATACGGGTCACGCTGCGCAAATGGGTCACACACAGCTAAAAGTTGCTCTTTCCAACCACGAATGCAAAGGAAACAGTTGTGCGGTTTCCTCTTCTCTTCACCTCCCGCGAAACAGTGTTTGGGTAGCACTCCAAGAGGACCCTTATTTGGGTTTTGTCTCGCTCCCCACCTAAAATGGGTTCTTCATTTGGCTACTCTGTTGGACCACGTTTTTGTCCGCCAAAGCAAGGTGGAGCAGGCATTTTGAGTTTGCGTTCACTGATGCCTATGCTGTTGGAGACCGTCTAAGAGATGTCATAAACACTTTGTAACAAGCAGCTAATTATAACAATGGATGTTAGTTGTTTTTTTTTTCTTTTCCATGTTCAGCTGTTAGTACCACCTTGCATGCAACTGATGCTGTCAGTTAAACTGAGTCTGAAAAAACGGCATAATGAGCATAAGATAGACCAGAAAATTATTGGGTGGAAGCTAAGTAGCTAACCTGTCTGTCATATGCTCTTTAGCACGGTACTCATAGGGTTCCTTCAATCTAGAAAAAATGATATATTTAAAAAAATCAGAACAACTAATAATTTGAAATGGAGAGAATATAACTTTTTTATATACCATATCAATATCGAAAGGCGTTTGGAAATTCTAAATTTAAAATTTAAAATATGAGAACTTATTTTGTGGACTCTAAATAATTTTAAATAGAAAACATGTCAATTATAACGTTGTACATCTCTACAATCTTGATATAACATTCGTCTTTATCCCATTTCACATGCAAAAGTAATAATTGTTAGATAACTATTAAGGATTAGGTTAGAATTGATAACGACATATAGTGCTCCCCTCCACTCCTCGAAACTAGTACTTCCTACGTCAAAAAAAGAATGCAATTTTCATTTTTCGAGGAGCCAAACAATTTGAAGTTTGATCAAAATTATACAAAAAGTACTAACATCTATAATACAAAATATGTATCATGAAATTAGTTATGGAATATATTTTCAAATTAAATCTAGCTTAAGACATAAATGTTAATATTATTCACTATAAATGTGATCAAACTTAAGTTAGTTTGATTGACACACATCATATAGTTGCATTCCTTTTGGGATGGATGAAATAGTATTTTAGCTATAGCATATAAAAATTATTTGCTATAATTGAAGAGCATTCTCTAGCAAAGAGAATGTTTAGTAATGTGTATCAGCAAACACCAACGTTAAAAGAGCCCTATAACAAATTTATCCTTTACTTTTTTTTTGTCAAGATTCATCAGGTGAAATATGCGAGCGAGCATGTGGTTCCGTCTCCGTCGTGGGAAGGCCCGATCAAAGTTCGACTCCCGGCTACCGCGTGCATAGCTACGGTAATGCACAGTTTATACAGAAAAAAACCCATCGCCTGTCCCGCGTCCCAAAGCACATGTAAAAAGGTTTCGGCCCACTCACAGGGTTACGGGCCCCTGAGTGAGGGTGGAGCATGGGGTTCGAAGATTTTCTCGATCTACGTGAGAAATCTTCTTCCTAGCGCAAAAACCGCAAGGGCTGTCTGCCCACCGCACGCCGAGTTTTTTTTTTATCAGGTGAAATATGAAGGGTTGTCATTTGTCAGCTCAGGGTCTCAGAAGTCAGAACCCAACAGCGCCCGGGGATCCGCGGTTTTAGCTTGTAGCACAGTCCACCAAATTAAACTCAGGCGCTGGGCACGTACACAAAAACCATGGACGAGAGGAGTCATCGTCAGTCTTTATGCTTTTGCATTTTCTGACACAGCCCTTGTTTAGTTCCACCTTAACTTCTAAAAATTTGCTACAGTACTTGTCACATCGAATGTTTACGACCCGTGCATAGAGCATTAAATATAGACAAAAAGAAAAACTAATTGCACAGTTTGGTGGGAAATTGCGAGACGAACGTTTTGAGCCTAATTAGTCCATGTTTGAACACTATTTGTCAAATAAAAACAAACGTGCTACAGTAGCCCCAAAATCTAAATTCCTACAACTAAACACAGCGACAATTAGGCAACCTAGTCAACTACCCGATTCTAATGGTACTAGCTGGCAGTAGCTAGTAAACAGTCTGTTCATTTATTGGTTTTAGCTAGAGCTTCTCAACTAGCTAATATTTTACAACAGATCAAGTCGGTCTCAGCTGAACCAAATGAACAGCCCAAAAAATGATTAATCACTTGCCTAATAAGCACTAATCACGTGCAGGGCCAAATAAAGCCTAACTAGACACCAGGTTTTAGGCAGGGTTTCACACCTTGTCTCACGCAGGTTGTGCCGTCTCTGCATATGCTGCTGTCGGTGCGCTGCGACCTGAGCCCACGGTTCGCGACTCGTGGTCTGTTAAAGTTCGCGATGCCTCCACATTTGGTACGATTACCATTTACTAATGCTAGATTCTTTCTTTCTCGTGAAGGAAAGCAAGAATGTACGAATTCAGAGTATTTTTTTTTCAATCTATCATGTGCAACTAACATATATAAATTTGAAAACTATCAATCGCAATTAAATGCTAATCCAATCGATGTAGTGAGAGGTATTAATTTTTACCAATAGATCCTCACACCCGAGAGGAGATTTTTTTTTTGCTTAAGCCCTCCTCACCCTATTTATTGCCCCTTTTTTTTTTTTTTTTGCTTAAGTGAGAGCTCACCTCACTGGATAACCAAGAAAATGATGAGAATCAAGAACTTTTCGCATCAATCTTGATCGATCAATTTACATTGATAATTTATACAGTTTGTTAGTTAATTAGTTTACGTATGATATTTTGCTTTTTTTCACTTGCATCCACAGGTCACGGGGAATCGCTCGGGCCGGGGCCCCGGGAGCTCGCGAGCCTCGGTGCCGGTGGACTGGACTACTGGAGACGTCCGCGGTCCGTCCGTCTCGGCGTCTCGGAGACCCAGGTCACATCACACACGACTGCCACAGTGCCCGTTCCGTTTCGAGAGAGACCCCCAGGTCCTCGCCGCATCTGGCGGAAACCGGCAGCTATGGCTCGCAGAATCGGAGGCCGGGGGAGCGGAGCCCGGGGCGCGACGCGGCTGGTTTCGAGAGCGCCCGGAGGCCGGAGAAGCCAAACCATGGCCGTGCCCACCGGTTGGGCGCCCTCCCGGCTCCCGATAAATCCCGGCGCGCCACAGGATGCAGCTGCACATCCCCACCCCACCCTTCCAAACCTGGCAAACCCAACGGCTAGGCTACCGAGCTGCCGTTCTCTCGGAGCACTAGCGAAAAAAAGGACTCTGTCGCGGCGATGGACGTGTACATCTCGGAGGAGTACGTGGCCCAGCGGCGCGCCGAGAGGAGGGCCGCGCGGATTGCCGCGGCCGCACGCTGTGGAGAGGAGAAGGCGCGGGCGGACAGCGAGCAGAAGCGGTGGACGGCGGCCGCGTGGGCGGAGAAGGGCAAGCGGCCCGCTGCTGACGGCGGCAATGCCGATACGAATGTCGGCGGTGGCTCCGCCTGGCTGGTAGGGGAGGACGCCGTTCTCAGCTACTTCTCGGCTTAGGTTGTCCCTCTGCGTGCGTCGAGCCAGGCAATGCAAATAGCCATGCCATGCAAAATTGCGTGGATCGCTATTGGTGGAGCGTTCGCCGTGTTAGTGTGTTACTTACTGGTGGCTAAGTTGTAAGTAGTGTAAGCGATTCGTGTGTGATTTGTTGGGATGTTATTTCAGGTGTTCAGCTCATCGACCATTTTTTAGGCCGCCAGGCTTCGCAGAGATAGTACCTTTGTGTTACTCTTATGTGTTGGCTTATATTGATGTTTATGCTAAAATATTGTGAAAAAAAAATATTATTCTATGATTGAAAAGTAGCGTTGAATAAGCTCAAACGAACATATTTGAAGGTATACATAGTACCGTGTACTACTGGCGCAACTACTATCTCAGACCATCAGCGCTGTACTTTTAACAAATTGTCCACACGTAGAGTTGTTCCACAACTCATCAACTGCTTTAGTTATATCTTTTTTTGACATCACAAATCTATATTTTATCCTTTAACTTTTAATCTTATTATTAGTTATATTGTGTTCATTTATCCACATAGTTTAAACTCTAGTGTTTATTGTACCTTTCATTCAATGTTTCTTTTGTATTTTATTAAAGAAATAGAATAGATTCTAGGTCCTAGACTATAGAATAAGCAGTTGTTTCAGCTCGTATGACAGCACTTAAGATGTTGAGTTTACTCTATCAAAGAATTGCATGTGTTGTATCATTGATTTGTATAAAAGAATAAAGTGCTTACCGTCAAACTACCAATGTTGATGTGTAGTCAAAATGTACAAACTTGTATAAAGCAATAACACTCAAAAATTAATGTCACAGAGATTTAATTTTAGTATAGCTTAAAATGAATTATCATTGTCCTTGTGTTGCAATGATGATAAATAAACTATAAAAAGATATATTTACTGCTAATATATGCATATGTAAACTTGGTATGCATGGTGACACATAACACTTAAGTTTAAGTCAAAACGAATAATTTAGAAACATACATATAATACTTTTCAAATAGTAGCTTATATTGGTAACTATATGTAGGTACGAGATTCTAAAAAAAATATGTAGGTATGAGGGATATTTTAGTATATGTTTTATAACATCAAATATGGGTAATTTAGATATTAAATGTTCTACTTTAGATTATCTTTTATGATGATAGAGGTGGATAATTTAAAAGCAAATTCAAAGGTTACTTTAAATTATCTTACATTATGATAAAAGTTGGTGGTTCAGTTGTAGATTTAGGTCTATTTATGTCTTTTCATTATGGAAGAAGTGTGTAAATTTATAGAAAATGGAATAGATTCAAGGGCTATTCTCTGTGGTGTTTAAAGTAAATTGAATTTGTCTAGATGTTTTTTATTATTATGAGAATTGTTGTGACTCTTTTTTCTAGTGAATCTTATGATGGTGAAGGCTACGTTGAGGATCTCCTGTAATATATGTTGTCATCCATTGTATTAGCTTTGTTGAGATATGCTGTCATCCTCTATGTATTTAGTCGAAACATAAGCATAAGCCATATCATCAATTTTATGTGACATGATGAATGTATATGTTGAATTTCAACTTCTGATCTTATTAGTTGTTGTATATTTTTACCTGTGCGTTAAGTTGGAACTTCAATGCTTATTACATCTTTATTTATATATATTTTGCTTTTGTATTTTATAAAAAAATAGATTTTAGGTCCTAGGCTACACTATTAATTACTACAATAGCATAAATAGTCATTTTAACCTACACGACGATACTCAAGACATTGAATTTGTAGTACTAGCGCCCGAATGTCCAAATTCAAATAATTATTAAATAGATTAGTTTTGCTGTTTTTTTAGAATGATGAAAAACATGGGCAGTTTAAAAGCAAATTTAGGGTTTCTTTGCCCGATTGGTACACTAGCTTGTGTCCGGACGTCAAGGCTGTTGTACGCCTAGCAACACTTCCCATCCCTCCGCTTCATCCCTCATGCATGCATCGGCGTCCCAAAGAATTTACAAGAAGAAAGCGATCGTGGCACATGAGTCACATTACAACATGTACAACGCCCGGTCTAATTATGAAACATCCAAAATAAACTTTTGCAACTTGCGTCCGAAAAAAGATGAAACACCTGAAGCATGTGTCTGAAACACCTGTGAAAACACCTAAAAACACTTGAAAAGTCATTGCAACACATATGCAACATCCTGACAAAAACACTTGCAAACATATGTGTGAAACATACGTAACATCCAAATAAAAACACTTGCAACATACGCTTGAAAAAACAGATGAAACATTTAAAATAAACGCTTGCAACATACGTGTATAGCCATTGTAACATATGCAATATCTCGATCTATTTTTGCAACATCTATACGAAACACTTGCAACATGCCTCTGAAACATCTGTAGCAATTGAAACATATGTTTGCAACATAGAGGGAGAACGAGGCCGGTCGATTCCGGGCGTCAGGGTGGGAGCCGGCAGCGTGCGAGCACCAACAGCGCCGGCCGCGCTCGTCGGGTGCCCCTTGGCTCGGCTGGAGACGACTTGAGGTGCCCCGGCACCTTCGCCCAGCCGCCATCGGCCGGGCAGTGGCGGTGGCCCGCGATGGCAATGCATCCTGACAGCGCTGGGTTGGGAAAGAGGCTGGGGAGGCACTGCGCGAACTGAGAGAGGATACAACATGGTCAGCTTGGGTGGAGGAAGAAAGGAATGGTGGCGACGCGGGGCTCTGCTGCCGCCAGCGGACGCGAGAGAGAGAGACATGGAGATGGGGTGGGCGAGACGGAGCAAACAGATAGAGAGACGGTCGAGGCAGCGGCGTGGAAACCGCGTCGGAACCGACGTGAGCGGGCGGATGGACGCGTCCAGGTATTTTCGCTGCCCGATTGAAGGTCAGATTGACGCCGTACGCTCTGCCGGGCGCGTCGAGGACGCGATCATCTTCAGCTACATCTCGGCGTGAGCCTTGTCCCATCACATGTAGCAAAATCTCATGGATCATTTGGTTTGGGATGTGCTAATGGAAGATTTCAGTTTGTAATCACCATAAGGGATTCGTATCCAGGTCACCGTGTACTCTTCGCTAGGTTTTATTGGCAGATCGGTAGAATGGAACAGGCAGAGGCCCAAAGAGGTCACTGTAGATCTTTGTATTCCTCCTATTGTTAACAGGGAAATGCATTTTACAGTATTACACATTTACACGCCACTAAACTGAATAGTTATCAAGTCTCAATAATTCGGGCTTACAAGGATACACCAACTGCAAATCTGGAATAGATGAGTCTGTATCAGTGGTTCAGGGCTTGTGCACTGCTGAATACCCCTGCGTGTGCTCGTTGTGCATTGGAGCGGTGACATACAGAACAACAGATGCGCCAAGCAGTAGGATCAGAAGAGCTGTGAAGTTCACCAGCAGAGCTTCCGAGCTGTACCTGCCAAAGCCGGCAGCCTGAAGGAAGGTGAGCTTCTCCAGGAACCCCAGCTCTGCAGCTAGCAGCGCCAGTATGTAGACAACAAGCCCAGCGCGAATGTGCCATGGGAGCATTCTGCGCCGGATTGTTGGCGAAGCACCAGGGAAGAAGAAAGTTGTAACACCAAGTAGCCACTGAAATATGAAATCAATGCATTAAGGCTCAAGTTTATTCTGAACTGGTCCTTGTATATAAAAATAAACGTCTTAAAATAAAAATAATAATAGCAGCAAAATCAATTACTGTCCTATACCAAACAAAAAACACCACCCAATGTGAATGAGGTCAGGACACTGCATGCTTACAAAGCTCAGCTGAAAGGAAAGGAGAAGTTCAATTTATAAATGTTTGGTTTGCAGCCTACATTGCCATGCTAAAAGTTAGGCTGGCCATATATATATTTCATTCTCATTTAATATTTCCATTGCAAAGTTTGAACAAATTATTCTGACAAATACTCAGATAGCACTATAGCAGTGCAAGGCTTGCACCTAGTGGAAAAGCACTATTTTCATGAATAAATCAATATGTCAATCATACACATGTCAAAAGGTTTTCTATGATCCTCATAGCTCACAATGTTACGAAAACAAAAAGGGTTTGTGTGCATCACCTGTATACCATACAGGCAGATAGTTCCAAGTCCAACCCACGAATGCAAGCTGTAGAGATTATCAATTCCACTTTCATTGTGGAACTTGAAGGCGGCATATATCCCAACAGAACCCAGGAAGAGTGCAACAGTATGAAGAAGCATGTGAACCATCTTGTTTGCATCATGACTCCATGGCCATATTTTGTAGCTCATTATGGCTGCAGACAAATGGCAACAGCTTGGTCATAAATGTTCAATACTGCCAATGATGGAAAATCATCAAGTAAAGAAAAAAGAACTTGTACTATCCCTTCGCTCCCTAGGATGATGAATCTTATTAGCATAAGCACAGGATGCACCTGCACAGACCTGGCTTATTATATTAGTGCATTTTAAATAGAACCTTATCCTTCATTAGGGTAAAAAATGCAAGCCATGACACCATACACGTATAAGGATCCTCTTTGTTGAAATTAAAACTAGGCTTTCCCTATGTCAATGAATGATTTCTGGTTTCTTGGCTTCCTATTGATGAGAAGAAAATGATCTTGGGATTTTTTTTTTCATTTAGCAGTAACTGCTTTGGCCAATCTCGGGTGTCAGTAAAATGGCGTAAACTCCGTGACTGAGATTCTGTACAAAATAATTCATTTTGCAGAAATGGAGTATTCTGTGATTGAACTCAGAAAGTGTTGTGATCATAGCTGTGCTCAGTGCCGAAGAAGGGGGGGGGGGGCCCCTGCGTGCCATTGTATTAAAGGTAGAAAACGGACCAATTATAATGCCGGATCCACAGCTCGGGTTTTTTTTGTGAAGGCAAAACAGCCCGGCCTAATAATTTACTGCTGCTCTAATTGGCCTAGTGCTACGGCAACGGCCCTCAATTAGAGCTTTCCAGTCTCACTCGGAGTTTCATTTGCATTTAATGCTCTGCCACATAAACGTTTTTGATGATGTGGCAATGTTTTTAAAAACAGAGAGAAGAAGTGAGTTTCATGGGGATGGCTTGGCACGATTATCAACTCACTATGAGTCATGAAATTAAATGACTACGAAACCATATAATGAAACTCTCTATTAGAGTGGGTGTTTTATCCATGTTTCATTTCATTGTATATGACATGGCAGTCTTAGAAAAAACGCCATGAAACTTTCTATTGAGACTGGCCTTACTCCGTAATGTCCTGGAAAACACTCTGGACCTCGGGATTCATGCCCCCTCATACTTCACCTAAACTCTAATACCATGTGTTTGGTTTGCGGGTTCAACTGGGATATCCTGGGTCCAACCCAGATAATCTGTTGTTTGGATCGGAGATTGAGTGGAATGGGTTGAACCTAGATGGGAATATTCCCTCAATATTTGGGTTCAGCTGGTTCCTCGAAAACGGGGGGACCGAGCGAACCCACTTCAACGTCGTCTCCTCCGCGTCCGCGTACGCCCCCAACGCTCGTGGCGATTCCGTGGTGGTCGCGGCGGCGCTAGCGCCGGCCCAGCCCCGTCCCCAGCGCTCGCCCTAGCCCCGGTAGTCGCGGTGGCGCCCGTGCCGGCCCTGTCCCGGTCCCCGGCCACAGCGCTCCTCCGGATCTGGGCGAGCAGCGGCACGGGAGGACCTCCTCCGGCGCAGCGACCCCGGGGCACGACGGAGCAACGGCGCGGCCAGGGCGGTGCTCGGGGAGGTGGCAGCCATGGCGGGCGAGCTCGGGCTTGGGCAAGCAGTGGCCATGGCAGGTGACCGCGAGGTCGGGAAGGTGGCGGCCATGGTGGGCGAGCTCGAGCTCAGGGAGGTGGCGGCCTCAGCGGGAGAGCACGGGCTCGGGCAAGTTGGCGGCGGCACGAGGCCGGCCTGCGCTGGGCGAGCTGTGTGGCGGCGTGGGGATGGGCAGCGCCGGTGCTCTGTTGTGCGGTGGTGCTCTGTTGGAAGAGAGGGGGAAGAAGATGGAAGGTTGGCTGACAGCTAGGTCCCACATCTAACAGCAGCACACGGTGTTTACAATGACATCCGTTCCAACCCATCCAATTCCTCGTACCAAACAACAAACTGGAATGGCTCCATCCTTCGACCCAACCCAGAAAACTGGGTTGGACCCAACCCAACCCAGTTGGTCCCCAAACCAAACACATGGACAATGTATATATATTTTCCCAAGCTAAATTAATTGGCAATTAATATATGGCCCCTTCTATTTAGAATAAGATTACTAGCTGGCTCCCCCTTTTTACATTTTCTAGCTCCAGTTATATTTTTATTTATGCGCTCTGTTACTTTACTGCAAGCTGGTGCCCCCAGCAGTTTGGTTTTAAAACAAATCATATGCTTTCAATAAAAGTAGGTAACAAAAGACCTAAGGAAATTAACGTTAACAATGCCAGATGGAAATCCTAATCAATATACATTTATACACTGTCAGGCCTCATAAAGTCCATGAGATTTTTTTAGCGTAGAGTTGTAACTTTGAAGGGCTTAAGCTCCAATTCTCATCGCAGTGTGCCCTGATATATTACTTCTCAATTCAAGAACTTATGGCTGAATAAGAACAATAAATTAGATGTCAGCCTATCACATTCATGTTGGTGATGAACACTCTGAAGTTATAGGGATATATACAGATTGCTAGTCTTAACAAATTCCTATTGTAGTCTGACAATCGATCTAAAATTAATCAAATTGATCAGATTAAAAATATACAGATCATTACTCTTAAACATATAAGCAAATTTAAATCAATCAAATTATACAGGTTAGCATAACAAGCGAAACAGAGTAAGCATTTCACTTGGATGTCACACTTAAACATGTCCTCCATCGGGTTAGGCTAGCAAATAACCAGAGAGCAGGTAAAATGGTGAAACATAACATGTACATTCCAAACACCTGAAACCTACTTGAGCACACTACAATGCTAGATTGCCATAGGCCAGGGCCACTAGAACCAAGCAAGCAGTGACTACAACACAACACAGCACAGCACAGCACAGCCTAACAAGTTACAGAAAAGGCAACGACGCAGCCATGAACCGCCATGTGGCATTAAAACCGGTCGATCCCCGCGGTGGTGGTTGAACCAAAAGAGTATGACCATAGCAGATCCCCGTTCGCCTCGCGGGAATAGGATCATGGCAATCAGATTCCAACAAACCAAGGAACTGGGGACCTCTACCGCAATGGGATCGAATGCTACCTGCCTATCTCCACGGGAAGAAATGTCTGAGAAAAGAGTCTTACGTTGAAGATGAGGCCCTTGTTGGTGGGGGAGCCGAGGGAGAGCCCACCGCGGAAATGGACACACCACAGCAGCACGAGCACCGCCGCGGAGGCCGCGAGCAAGCGCGCCACCTTCGCCGGCGCCGGCACGGCCATCTCCTCCCTCCGGCGTTGGGAGAGGGATCGGAGTTCGGAAGCCTCGGCCCGGCCGCCTTGGCAATGTCAACACACTCGAGACAGTCAACACCATGTCCTTGTCTGTGGGCCGCGGAGAGGACCTACGAAGTTTGACCCAGCAAACGAGAATACGGGCCTCGGCCTGGAAACATCCACATTTATATTGGGCCTTGGACTGAAATGGGCCTAAATGGTTCTAATTGGCACGCTTTCCTCTAAAATGTTATCTATCTTTTTTTTTCTTTTATTTATGTTTGCTTCGTAGTATCATTGTGGATTTGTGGTCCCTGACAATTGCCGTCACTGTCTACTAGATCCCGACCCTGCCACAAACACCATCCACGACGATATACCATCATAGCACACGCACAAAAAGACGTGTCTAGTGACGCGCTGCTATGGACGTGCTAAGGGCCAAAACCAGACGAAAGTGCACCGTTCTTCCGTGTTGCGTCTCAAATCTGACGAAAGTGAAACAGACGGCGCGGATTCGTACGAGAGAGAGAGCCCTGACTGCCCGCGACGCCGCACCTAACCGACCATGTTGAATTCAGCGGCCTAGTCTCGATCAGCCGGTCTCTGTGCTTAGCGTTTCTCGCGAGACTTGCAGCGGCCGGAGCTGCTGTTCTTGCGCACGCTCCGGGTTGCGTCCATGGGCGATGACAGTATGGCACATTGTCCTCTCACGGAACCACATGGTTAGCTTCTGGAAACTTCATTTTCAAAGCATCGCCAGTGTTAAGTGCAATCGCCATCTTGCCATGCATGAACATCCTACCCTTGTTGGGAAAATGGGAACATTGCAACCGCGACGGCTCACAAGAATCCATACACTCTTTTCCTGCGCCTGCCATACCTTCTAAGCCCAGTCTCCTGCACCACCAGCTCATCACTGCACGACACAACTCTAAATTCCTCTCTTTAACAAAGAGTACCATCTACCACGACACGCTTTTTTCTGTGCTACAACTGTTCCAGCACACAGCTTCTTGACTACTACCGCTGCTCATTCACACGTCACACGCAGACATACCTTTCCTAGTTTCCTCGCAGCTAAAGCGATGCATACGAACTTAGCGAGGATTGGTTTTACTGTTGTTGTTAGGACTGAATTTCAATCAGCTAGCTACTCTCATCTTGTGCTCCAATTTAATTTGACCTTTTGATCCTGGCAGAAGGAAGTTAGGAAGGATCGATTCGTGTTGTTAGTACTTGGACTTCAATAAGGTGGCTACCCTCCCTGTGCTCCAATTTTAACCTTTTCAGCCAATTCGTAAAAGTACAGAGAACTTACGTTCAGAATGTACACGGTACACTAACTCCAACCACCATTCACCTTTACAATTTGGAAGCTTTAAACATAAGGTTTCAGCAACGGCAGGTTACCCATCATGCATTGCCACCAGCCCACCATTCTGTTCCTCTCCGTAGGTTTTCAGACAGAGAGGAAGTTTCGTTCTGCAGTTTTAACCGGTCCCGGAACACTGCAATGCAAATGTTCTCTTCTCCGACAGACAGGGGGCCGGGTGAGCTGAAAGCCTGAAAACCACCACCACGAGCAAGTGGCACATGGTGCCGACTGAGCAAGCTTCAAGCACAGATCGATCCTCTCAGATCTCTCGACCTCGCCTTTCCTGCTCTCTCTCTCTCTCTCTCTTGGAATGGAACCATGCAAAACTCCAGCCGCAAGCTTGCTACGCGTGACAGCGCGCGTGAGCGGTTTCGTACCTTGGCGGCAAGCTAGTGCTAGGCAGACCAACTGCAGCTCTGCATAAAGCACAAGAACATTATAAAAAGAAAAGAAAGGGTGTGCAAATTTTTTATGTGTCTTGATTGATCTCTCAAGCTACATTCCCATGCATCCACAAGCACGAACTCAAGCAGATCGTCGGTGAGAGCAGGCCCGGCCGGTAGCTCATGCTTCCCAGCCAGCCATCTGAGGTTTAGCCAACCGTGATACCAACGTCCTACTGGTAAGCCACTGATGCTAGTGCTACGAGCCTACGACCGACGACGACGTTGGCAGAAAGCATATGCATGACGCTTTCCAGCAAGAGGAAAAAAAAAGCGTGAAAATTCAGCGGCAAGATTGATTAACAGCATAACAAAGGCTGCGTCGACCTCCATTTGCGATGATCAGCAGCTGATCGCCAACGAAAGCAACAATAACATGTCACCTTCTGATCGATCTGAGCTCTGAGGCGTGAAAAGGAGCAATCGATGCGGTTCACCGTCGACTTTCGCGAAAGAACCGTGGGGGCCTGCGCGTTTGCTTGCTATACTCTTTTCCTTTGGCCAATCCTTTGGTGAAAGAGATCGTAAATATGTGGCTGGCACGCTTCGCTGCTCAGTGCTTTCACTGCAATACTGCCACTGTAAATTTCCTCTCTGCTTGCATTGACTTTCTTTCGTTGTGGATGTGAAATGTCCGGATCGGAGGAACCCGCATTTCTTTTCGGATGTTACACCGCGCCACCACGCCTCGGGGCCCGGGCTCAGGTCAGGTCTGGAAAAGGAAGGCAGTCCGGCATACTTGAGTTGACTGCCGCCTCGCACGCTGCACGATCGATCCATCCAGCTGCGAGATCGCACTAACGTACGGGCGGCGCGCAGGAGGAGGAGGAGGAGGCGTGAATGATCGCGGGGGCAGGCCGGGCTGCCCGCCACACTGTTGAAGCTGATGATGAGCAGAGCAGGTGGAGTACGTGCCCCGTCCGTGGCAGGCAGCGCCGTGTCAGCTATCACGCGGCGACGCCGTGGCCATGCGTGCCTGCGCGCTTGGACGGCCAGAGCCGGAGACAACAGGCCCTCACGAGATATCATGGCGGCGGCGCACGTCCGTCCGATCGGAGTAGCGGCGAGCCGCGCGCGCGAGCGCATCGATCTCGCGCCACTGCCGCTGCCGCGGCCTGCGGTTGCCGGCCTTGGCAGCGCGACGGCAACGTGACGAGCGGTGTGGTAAAGAGGGCTGGGCTGGACACCACGGCCGACCGTCTTTTTGGCAACTTTATTCGGGACCGTGGCATGTTTCCAGTCCAATCAGATCGTATCTGCTCGGATGATTAGCTGTTGACGTGCCCGGAGAAGGAAGACGCTGGACTGGAGACGTAAATTAACTAGCCTCAGGCCGGACTATGATGTCTTCCTTTTTCGGATCAGGGTGGATTATAATGAGCGGGACAGCGGGAGTAGAGTACAGTTCCTCCTTTTTTCTCTCTGAAATATACTCCGTAAACGTTGGTTTGGGAACAGATCACCTGCACGCTGTGGAATGGGAGAGGGAGGTGTGGAGCCGAGGCAACCTGTGCCTGCGGACTCCCGCTGTGCAGTCTGCAGAGCGGCCGCGTGGGTTCGCTGCACTGCAGTGCAGACCGCTAGTGAACCGTGAACGTTTTTTTAGTGTAACAGGAGGGATCGCCCCTACTGGAATTTTATTAAAATTTAAGTACAGAGAATGTCCGGTACAAAAGCTCAAGAAACAAAGTAACAAAGAAAATAAGTAGGATTACACAAAGTTGTCTATCCATAACTGAATCTGTAAACTTAAATCTTCTTTAGCTCGAAGTTTAACTTGAGCTAATTCCTGCCTAAAGACTTGCTTGCATGATTGCAAAGATTGTTGCTGGTTTGTGAAGATTGCATCATTCCGAGCAGTCCAGATAGCCCAAAACATTGCAATAATAATTTCCATGAAGAATGGTTTGTGAATTTAGGTTCTAAACAAGAAGACTGAATCAATTAGATTATCTTGAATCAAATGGGCCAAACCCAGCATATTCTAGCAAGACAGAGCAAAAGGACACTCCAGAAATAGATGATTTAAGGATTGCTCTGTATCTAGATGGCAAAGCACATAGTTGTAACTTTCAAGTTTCATATTTCTCCTTTTCAGAAGTCCACGGGTACTCAAACGATCTTTGTTGGCTAGCCAAAAAAACACCTTTCTCTTTGGTAGACAGCTTGAGTTCCACAGCCAATTATATATGGGTGGGACTGGAATAGAGCCAAGCAATTGTTTATAAGCTTTACTTGATGCAAAATTAGAGGAACCCATATATAAGACCATTTATCCCTGAGCTGGTTCAAATGAAAGTCTACTAATTCATAAAATAAAAGCTGAAATTCAGCATTAGCTTCCACTGAGAGGGGATGTGAAAGAAGCCAGACTTATCTTCTGCAGCCATGAAATCCTTTACTAGGATGTGTTCTTCTTTAGCATAAGAGAAAAGGTGAGGCCATTGAGCACTAAAAAAATCACCATGCCAAGTATCTGACCAGAAAAGACAAGTGGATCCATCACCAATTGTTACAAAAGCCATGCCTTTGAAAGAGTTGAACAGTTTAAGGACATCTTTCCACCAGAAAGATCCCCTTCTTCTATTTTGAATTATAAAGTTTGCACTAGTATAATAAGAATTTCAAACTAGATGAACCCATGAGATATCACACTTATTGAAAAAATTTATGCAGATATTTAAGCAGCAAACTCTCATTGAGTATAAAGATCATGAACTCCTAAACCACCATTTTCTTTTGTGTTACAAACAAGCTTCCAGAGCTGCTTTTGGAGGTTTTTTTGAGTTAATGTCAAACCCTATCCACAAGCAATGCTTTCTATATTTATCAATTTGCTTTATCACAATCTTTGGCAAGAGGTAGGTGCGCATTGTATAGGTTGGTAATGCACTCAGCACAGCATTTGTCATTTGCAATCTACCTGCCTAGCTTAAGAAAGATGATATATTGACAAGCCTTCTTTCACACTTAGATACTAAAGGCTAAAAATCAGCCACAGTTGGTTTGGTAAGACTTAGGGGTAAACCAAGATATATAAATGGTAGAGAACCAGTAGAGCAACTAAAGGTGTTTGCCAAATGTTGTAGTCTTTGTTCAGACACATTCATTGGGACCATCATGGACTTAGAATAGTTAACTTTCAGACATGTGGATTCTGCAAAGGTGTTAAGGATGTCTTTCAA